GATTAGATTACATTATTTAAAAGTATTTATCTGCCCAAAGGGGATAAATTATTTTTAAATTGCATATGGTATTATGAAGAAATATGTATGATTTAAAAATTTGTCTGCCCAAAGGGGATGAATTTTTATAATTGTATGTAATTCTTCTTGTTGTTCAAATCTTCTTGTGATAGAAAAAATTTGTATATTATATTCCTTGCCCAAACGGGGTTTATGGTATATAAATTATTTTGTTGTTGCCCAAATTTAATCTTATTGCATTGTGTATGTCAATCAGTTATTTTTTGTCATCAACAACAACCAAGCTATTGTTGAGTTATTGACTATGTCAAATTATAAGAAATGGAGATGTATAATTTATAGAATATTTTTATTTATTGTGTTATATGCTTTCGCTTGAACTGTTTAACTGTAAACCTTTTTGAGAATGCTATTATTTTTTGAACTCATGATTAATGAAGGTGTTACACCTTCTTGTGGAATGCATCATGATTTTTGTCAAGATCTGTAAGAATTTATACAATTTATTATAGATGATTACCACCAAAGTGGGATTGATTTATTAGTCATATAAATTTCTCTATAAATTTGATGAAAGCTTATAGTTGTTTCATGTAATTTCCTGCCCAAAGAGGGTTATTGTGTGTTTTAATTTAAAGCTTGTCTGTAATAAAGTTAATGGAGTTGCATTGGTCTAGGTGGTCTGTCTGCCCAAAGGGGACAGATCTTTTAAGCCAGTGTATGCTCATTGATTGATTCATCTGAGGCTTTGACTTTTGTTTAAAACCTTGATATGTGCATTCTGCCCAAAGGGGAATGTACTATTTTGTTGAGCTCGTTGTAATAACTTGCCTTGATTAAAGCTATATTTTTTCCTATAGTTTATTTTGATGCATTCGTTTTATTTTAAAAAGTGAATTTTTTGTTAATTCCTTTAGATTAATTTAAATATATTTGACCAGTGCATCTACATGAAAGTAAGTGGGAGTATATTTATGTTCTTAGTACTTTATATAGATGATATTTTATTTTCAGTAAGATGATGATTTACTAAATGAAATAAAAGCTTTTTATCTAAAAGTTTTGATAGGAAATACCTTGAAGTAGCCTTATTTGTATATAGAACATGAGTTCTTTAAATTATTTTGATTCCCTTAATTAGTGGGAGTTCTACTTGAGGTTTTCTTTTAAATATTTTAGATTCTTTTGATTCCCTTGATCAGTGGAAGTTGTATTCAGTTTTCTTTTTTGATCATGCAAACTGATGCTGAGTTTGTGACTTTTGTTTGAATTTTAATAATTGATGATCATCATTATTGTTATTTCTCCTATCGACTGAGAAATATATGTATGAAATAGTATCTTTAAGCTTGTTGTGAGCTTAAAGATGACTCGATATCACAACTTTGAGATCTCATGTTGTATTGTGACATATTGGTTTATATAACATGAGCAATTTCATGTTGTTTGAAAATTGCGTTAATTCAATTTCATGTTATTTAGAAATTGCGGTAATGCAATTTCATGTTGTTGAGAAATTGCTTTGAGGAGTGTAATTTCATAGTAATTGGAAATTGCACTAATGTAATTTCATGTTGTTGAGAAATTACATTAAGAAGCGATAGGAATTAGTGTGTTGTATTGCTGATCACATTTTGGCACTAATTCTTACTACACTTTTAGGCCCATGATTCATGGATATATGTAATACTTATTGTATGTGAGTATGGAAGGTCATATGCTATGGTATTTTCGATATATTGACTGTTATGTTCCTATGATAGGGTTACCTTGGATTAAATTGTGTTGATTGAGATGCTGGAATTGGAATTGGAATATTGTTTTTTTTAAATCGTGGCCATGTAAAATGATTTTTAGTTATTAACTCAATAGAGTAATTCTGAAAATAATATCAAATTAATTAATATAGCCCAAGTGGGAGAATATTGAAAAAAAATTATTTATGTCGAAAATATTAATTAATTAGTTTTGTGTTTTTAAAATAAATCGGTTAATGGATATTCCAATTGTATTATTTTTACTAACCCATTATGATCATATTGAGTTAGGCTTATGGCATCTGTTAGTATTAGGCCTAATTGGACAGCAATGCAGGCTTTAGTGTGACCCTGATTTTCTGTAATGGATGGACCCACTGGACACAAACTCTTTTCAGGGTATTTGACTAAGTCTCCTCTCTAGCCTATTTGTATTGGGATTAAGTCCCATGAGCCGTTATGCTCCCATCACAAGAAGGCTATCATTTTGGAATAGGTCATAGAGAGGAAGATTCTAACTGTGAAATCAAGGTTCTTCGATCAGTAGATAAGATGGTCCAATCATGTATTTCTTATTCTTTATTTTCGAATTATTGTTATGTGTAGTTTTATATATCATATATGTATCGATATGATATTACCATAAAAAAATTCTCACATCTTACACTTCCATATCTCTATCAAGTCTCCCGCAACATTATATTTGTATTTCCCTATATAGTATCATATCTTTGCATTTATATATATTAACCTAGAATCCCTTGACTCTTTAATTTTTTGTCAAACAAAAATGTAAAGATTGTTTATATATATATATATATATATATATATATATATATATATATATATATATATATATAATCATTTTTGCAGCCGCTTATGTACAACGACAGGTGTATGGTTATGATTCTCCACATTTAATACTTTCATCATTTGTATGATTATGATTCCCTGCATTTAATGCTTTCAAGTATATATATATGACAAGTATTTGATTGCTACACGTACAACAGCTGCAGAAATGTAAACAAATCATTTTTGCAGCCGCTTTACGTACAACGACAGGTGTATGGTTATGATTCTCCACATTTAATACTTTCATCCTTTGTATGGTTATGATTCCCTGCATTTAATGCTTTCAAGTATATATATGGCAAGTATTTGATTGCTGCACGTACAACAGCTGCAGAAATGTAAACCCTATATATATATATATATAGGAAAAAATAGTTCTACAGCCACTTTATATAAGATTATCTACAACTACCATTTATAACTATGTTCTCCCGGGAGAACATACTTATAACATTAAAGTTACATTTTTGTCTCTCTCCTCATCAGCAAACAAGTTCTGAAAAATAAGTGAGGAGAGAGAAAAAAGCAACTTTAATGTTATATATCTATGTTCTCCCGGGAGAGCATATTTATAAATGGTAGGTATAGATAACCTTATTTAAAGTGGCTGTAGAAATGTTTACCTCATATATATATATATTATTAAGTACTTTTCGGGAAAAAAAAATTAAGAGAAATGTGCCGTTATAAGATTAAAAGATGTAACATAACTTCCAAAGTTACGGTAGAATTCAAAACCAATATTTTTACATCGACGCAGTTCAATCTTACAAGTATAGAGCAAACACCCACTGACATTTATTTTAAGTTTTACTGACCTGCACTTTTTTAAAATATAAAATTTACATTAAATCGTGTGTTACATATTTGAAACAGAAATCAGCAAATAAAAAAGGTTATTTGAATTGTATTATAAGAAATGAATGCAATCTAGAAATATAATATATTTTGAACGTTAATTTTTTTTTTTCATTATGAAAGACCAGTAAGAGGAGGTATTTTTTTTTTGAAATATTCCAATCGGTTCATCACTTCGCGACTAGTCCGATTCGGACGGGTTCAGATTAAAGTTTTAAATTCCTCTCAGAGATGGTACTGAGAAAGATAGAACACATGTTTTTATCTTCACTTCTTCAACTTCCATACGTCAACACCAAAAGGAGAAGCTTAAATCATCGTTAACCAAGTCACACAATAGAAAAGTGTAATTGTTTGTTGAAAGACCTGAAATTTTTTGGAGTAACAACAAATTAATTATATTTAAAAAAAAAAACTGGAATATGTATGAGATCGGCGAGAACCAATTAATTAACTATCTGAATCCTGCTATTGGCAAGTGATTTTTCAATACTAAAAAGTATAAATAAGTAGAATTCATATGATATTAATTATAAAGAAGTAGGTAAAATAAATATAAATAAATAAATTATTTTTTTTAACTTTAATAGGTGATGTGTGTGATTACTTAAGAAATTTTCATTGTTGGCTAACAATTGTTTTGGTTGTACGTTTGAATTCATTTGATAATAATTTCTTTGAAATGGATAAATAAAATATTATTTTTTAAAACTTTAATAAGTGATGTAGTATATGACTACTTAAAAAATTTCGTTGTTGCTGAAAATTGTGTTTTGATTGTATGTTCGAATATAATAACACTTCAATATATAGTTCCAAGGGAAAAATGTTTCTGCATACATAAGTTATCTGCATTTTTTTCAAAACGACATTGTTTTGGTATTGAAATTTTAAAAAATTATAAATACAAAGACTATTATAATCCTGAAATAAATTAAAATTACAAAGATACCATAATTTTCGCCCCAAAACGACGTCGTCTTGAGCTTACGGTAGATAACTTATCTGCAGTAACTGCAGAAAAAGCGAATCCTTAAAATCATAACTAAATATTATTTTATTTTAAAAGAATAGACCGACAGATATGTAAATTTTACCAAAATAAACAAATAAATATAAAAAAGAACACCATGCCCTTGGTGCATCCACGTGCGCCCCCAGCAACATGACAAGTGCGAATAAGTTATGCGCATCGCCGTCGTCATGCATGCTCCTATCTTTTATCAATTCCACGATTCTTTGTGGGGTCAACTTCAACGTACTAAAATTAATATTATAGTTTACAGTAGTTGAAATTCAAACCGTCACATACGACCCTTTGGTCAAGTCTTACCAGGAACGCATACATAAATATATGTTGTCATTTGTCCCCTATCCAAATTTCTCAACTAGCTAGCTGAATTGAATTAACCTTCAGAGTAAAGCAAACAGAGAATTCTAAGTTTTATTTTATTTTTGTTGTTGTGGTTTTTGAGTTTCTAATTGATTCTAACTCAGAAGCAGAGAACAATGGATCAGGGAGAGAGATCAGTTTCAAATGGAAATGGGGAGGTTCGGTATAGAGGGATTCGTAGAAGGCCATGGGGTAAGTTTGCAGCAGAGATTCGTGACCCTACAAGGAAAGGGACTCGTATATGGTTAGGAACCTTTGACACTGCTGAGCAAGCTGCACGAGCTTATGATGCTGCTGCTTTTCATTTCCGTGGTCACAGAGCCATTCTCAATTTCCCAAATGAGTATCAGGCTCCTAATCAAAACTCTTCATTACCTATGCCTCTTCCTCTTCCTCTTCCTCTTCCTCTTCCTCTGCCTCCTCCTCCTTCTTCTTCTTATTCTTCTTCCTCTTCCCACTCTGTTGAGGACCTTGTGAAAACTGGTTTTTCTGGTGATGATGCTTTTGAATTGGAATACTTGGATAATAAGTTGCTTGAAGAACTCCTTCAGGCGCAAGATGATAGACATCTGTACAAGTGAATAACAAGAGAGTATTCTCGCAGCATGTATTATTTCTTTTATTGTTTGATTTTGTTTTGTTGGTGTATCTGATCAAAGTTCTTCGAAATGAGATTTGGGCATTAATTTGTAATAACTCTAAGAATTTACTTAAGAGAATAGAAGAGATGGAATGAAATGTCTTTATTTTGGTAAAGGATGCCCTCCCCTTCTCCTAAGCATTGGATATGTATGCTATTGATTTCTTATGAACACACCCATATGTTTTCTTATGTTTATCCAAATTCTCACCAACTTGAGCATTGCAGTTATACCAATTAAAATTAATATATCCGGCAACTATGGGATTAGGATGTTTAAGGTGTATGTATAATATAAATCTTGACATAGAAAAAAAAAAAAATTACTTAAAAATAATATTTTACCCAAGTAGTCATATAACAAAGGCCACAGTGGATTTTGCCTTATCCATAGGATCATAACTGAATTCCAGACCCGACAACATATTTTGTTATCATTTATGATCTAAACCCAAATTCACGGATCCAACGAATCTCAATCACTGATACAACTCTGGAGTGAAGATCTCAGAGTATCACTGGATTTGTTACCATTGTAGCGTTAATGTATTACTATTATAATATTAATTATAATTACTTTTGTAGCATTTAATCATGGGAATTGTTCATTTAATAAGAGATAAAACCATTTTCTTACACTCATATACACATGAGAGAGAGAAAAGAATAAAGGAGAGAAAACAAATATAAATGAATCTCACCGTTCAATATAAATGTGTAGGAAAATTATTCTATCTCATGTTAAATAAGAAAATAATTCCCCTTTAATCATATGCTACAATTATAATACATTAATACTTCAATCGTAATAGGATTCCAAAGCCTATATTTATAATTTTATATGATAACAGACAAATAATATTTCCTGCACACAATCGAAGAATCCTATAGCAAATTAACCACTATGCCATATAAGAGTGGCCATACATAATTTTTGTTCTAATACTCTAGTTTCTTTTGCATCTTATTTGACTTGAGCGTATAATGCTTTCATCAAGGAGACTTCATCACTAAAACGAAACCCAGTGTTACGATTCTTGGTATAGAGCTACCAAGAGTCACCCCAGAAAACGAACTCGCAGAAAAGAAAAACATAAAGAACAACACCAGTATTTTATACTTGGTTCAGAAATTCTTTGTAAAAGAATTTCCTACATCCAAGTTGGCCAGTAAGGGTCAAACGCCCTCTAGCATGCACTTATATTCAGAAACAGAAACAGTACAATGTTTACAGTAGCTATTACAAACCACAATACAAGAATACTCAAATAACGGTGACTTCAGAAGAAAAATAACATATAACTGCAGATATGAAACTTACGACAGAAAGCAACCACATACAGCAAATACATCTAATCAAGATACAACCAGAGATCAAAGAAAAATATCACCGAGCACAGCCTTGACACTGCCAACCTAGCAGCTCTCTTCACCGAGATGATCAAGTTCTTCTTCACCAAAGAACCAGCTACTGTGCAAGGGACTCAACCTCTGTTTTCAAGTATCTCCAGAAATTGCACCGATCAAATTGCTCGCCTTGATGTCACGAATAACTTCTTCTGAATCACCGAGTTGAGATTCTCAGTGTAACCCACTCAAATCTCCCCACAAAGTTCTCGACTATGAACCCTAACTTTTCTGTCTCCAAGAACGCAGAGAGAGAAAGAGCCAAATGTGTGTCTTAACCACTCAGAATAGAATGACCCAAAAATATCACACGGAGAAGGAATATACAGCTGATATTTTTAACCATCACAGCATTACAAAACGCAACGTTTCATTTGCAGCGTGCAAGTAACCATCAAGGGATCAAATGCTTTTGGGCCTTAACAATAAAAATACTTGCTAGGGCCCACAAACTATCACGAGGACAAAAAATACCTTGCTAATGGATAATCAGAATACAAGTGATAGCAGGATAAAAAATACAGCTTATCAGCAAGTGAATTAAAACATGCAAGAAATTATATGTTTAGGAAATAAACATAACAAATCTCCACCTATTTACTAAACATGCAACAGAATAAAGTGCACACCAGAGTTTTTCTGGCGTTTAACCCAAGGCCTATGTTATGCATGCAATTTAGGGAGGTTTTATTTTTAGCAAATTTAGAGCCTCCCTAAATTTACTAAGAGGAACAGTCTTAGTCAAAATATCTGCAGGATTAATTTCAGTTGGTATTTTATTCACACTAACCTGACCATTACTAATTATTTCCCTTATGAAATGCAACCTAACATCTATATGCTTGGTCCTTTCATGGTATGCACCATTTTTGGACAAGTGTATGGCAGATTGAGAATCAGAAAATACCTTAGGAGGGTCCTTACCTAGACCCAACTCAGAGACAATTCCATGTAACCACATTGCCTCCTTGACAGCTTCTGTGAGAGCCACATACTCTGCTTCAGTTGTGGAGAGTGCCACAATGTGTTGCAAGCTTGCTTTCCAGCTCACCACATTTCCTCCCACACAAAAAACAAAACCAGTTAGCGATCTTCTTTTATCAAGACCAGCAGCATAGTCAGAATCACAATAACCAGTAATATCACAATTAACTGAGTTTTGAGCAGTATAATGAATGCAGCAATCAACAGAGCCACTAAGGTATCTAAGCAACCATTTCACAGCATTCCAATGTTCCTTAGATGGTTTACCCATGTATCTACTTACTACACTAACACCATAAGCAATATCAAGCCTAGAGCCTATCATGGCATACATTAGGCATCCAACAACATTAGAATATGGAATATTGCACATAAAAGAAGCCTCATCCGAGGCTAACTCACCATCTACAGCCTTTAACCTGAAGTGACCAGCAAGGGGAACACTTACAGGTTTGGCCAGGTACATGTCAAAGGTCTTTAAGACCTTTTTCACATACTCAGATTGAGAGAGAGTCAATATCCTCTCATCTCTTTTCCTTGTAATGTCCATGCCAAGTATCCTCTTGGCTGGACCAAGGAACTTCATCTCAAATTCCTTTTTCAACAATGATTTCAGATTATTAATTTCATTTATGTCCTTAGATGCAATTAACATGTCATCAACATAAATCAACAAGTAGATAAAACAGTCATCATGCAGTTGTTTAAAGTACACACAATGATCAAAACTACTCCTATTAAAGCCTTTGGACAAAACAAAATCATCAAACCTCTTATACCACTGCCTAGGGGCTTGTTTTAACCCATAAAGGGACCTTTTCAAAAGGCACACTTTGTTCTCAGCCCCCTTTTTTATAAATCCTTCGGGTTGCTCCATGAATATGAGCTCTTCAAGGCTGCCATGCAAGAAGGCAGTCTTGACATCCAATTGTTCCAATTCTAAATCATGAATTGCAACAACTGAAAGTATGAGCCTAATTGAAACATGTTTCACAACAGGGGAGAATATTTCATTGTAATCAACCCCCTCAACTTGTGAAAAACCCTTAGCAACAACCCTTGCCTTAAACCTGGCAGCTTCAACACCTGGGATTTCTGGCTTCCTTTTAAAAATCCATTTGCATCCAATCACCTTCTTGTTCTTTGGATGCTCCACCAAAACCCAAGTCTTATTTTTCTCAAGAGACTCCATCTCTTCCTTCATGGCTTTTAGCCAATGAATTTTAGAATCCAGCCTCATAGCCTCTTGGTATGAGCTGGGTTCATTAAACTCCAGCACATCTCCAACTTGGAGTGCAAATGCTATGACATCTGCATGTGCAAAACGACTTGGAGGTCTTATATTCCTCCTAGTCCTATCTCTAGATAGTAAATAATCCTCTAGATTATCTCTATCCAGTTCCACATCATGCTCCTCAATGGGAATGTCATTCCCATCATCTTGAACTTCAGCAACAGTGTGTTGTTGTTCATTTTCAGCCACATCAGGTTGCTGCCCAGTGTTGTTGGGCAGCTCCACCTCCAACTCAACAGTCCTAGGAGGATGCTCTTTGTCACTCAGTTTGGATATGTCTTTATAGAATGTGTTTTCTTCGAAAATCACATCTCTACTTATGACACACTTCCTTTCAGCTATGAGCCATAGCTTATATCCCTTAACACCTGAAGGATAACCAACAAAGACAGATTTAACAGCTCTAGGACTCAACTTATCTTGTTTTACATGCATGTATGCAAGACAACCGAATGGTTTTAAGTGTCCTAGACTTGGTGGCTTACTAGACCAAAGCTCCATAGGGGTTTTAAGACCTATAACCGTGGATGGGCTCCTATTTATAAGGTAACAGGCTGTGGAAACAGCCTCAACCCAAAAAGATTTAGGGAGACCAGATTCAGCCAGCATACATCTGACCTTATTCAGGATGGTTCTATTCATCCTTTCAGCCACCCCATTTTGTTGGGGTGTTTCAGCACACGTTCTGTGCCTCTTAATACCATGCTCATTGCAAAAATCAAAAAATTGATTATTGCAAAACTCAAGCCCATTATCAGTCCTCAGGACCTTGACTTTCTTATCAGTTTCATTCTCTACAAGGGTCTTCCAATTCTTGAAGCTATCAAAGGCTTGATCCTTTTGCTTCAAGAACATGGTCCATACTCTTCTAGAATATGAATCCACAATAGAAAGGAAGTAATGGCAACCAGAGAGAGAAGGGGGAACATTAGGAGATCCCCACAAATCAGAGTGTATGTAATCAAGGACTGATTTAGAAAAATTTGAAGAGCTAGGAAAGGGTAACTTGTGTGTTTTCCCTAAAATGCAATTTTCACAAAAATCAACACAAGTTACTTTCTTAGGACTTAAAATACCTTGTTTACATAACTCAGACAGACCCTGGTTGCTGATATGACCCATTCTCTTATGCCAGAGAACAGATTCATCATCCTTGGCTGCTGTTATACAGCTTTCAGATGAAACAGCATGGCCCTGTAATATGTACAGGCCATTAATTAACCTTCCTTCCATTAAAATCTCACTACCCTTAAGAA